TGCTTCTAAACAGAACTCAGAGGACCAGGGCTCTCTTCCCCACCTTGCTTGAGCTTCATAATCACCTACCATGCCATAAGAGGCTTTGGAAGACAGTTACTATTTATTGTGCTGAAAAAACAGCAGGGAGAATCACATCGTCGGCCACACAAAAATTGTGATTTATTTTTTTTTTAAAGGTCAGGGTTTCCCCCCTCCCCTTCAGTGACAGGAATGAGTTTATTACATGCATGCATAGGGCCAAATTCTGCCTTTAAATATTCATATGAAACGCTCACTGACTTCTTGGGAGATGCATGTGTTTATCTAAAAGAGCAGATGTTGGCCATCACAATCCAGAGATGATTTTCTACCAGATTATAACAGTTTAAAGTAGAGATCTGTCCAAGCTGCAAAGTACTGATCTGGAACTGAAATATAAGTGTGTTCCAGTTCTGGGTTCCAGTTTGGGTCCAATTAGATTTTGGTCCTAAACTACATAAGAGTGTCTTTATAAACTGGAAACAACATGCCATCTAACATTTGAACGATGCCACTGTTGAACAGATGGGCAAAATAAACAACGGGTACAAAAAAGACAGTAAATATGTTGACAAACTTCCCTTCATGTGCTCTCTTCCTGCCTAATTCCAGTCTTTGGTTGCAATCTGCCTTCTTAAAACCATCTGGAAATAACATGTTGTAAGGCATGTACCTACACATCAATTTACAACTTGTTTCTGGACTCAGACTACTTTGGGTTTGGGGTGGGTAGGGTTTATTTGTTTTCACATTTTTAGTTCCTAAAGTAGGTTCTCTCATCCCTGCTCTCCTCCAGACTAATTAATCCCCTCACTGTTTTATGGCTCCATAGCACATATCTAGAGTAATGGATGCCACCCATAAAGCTCTATGGATATGTGCACATATCCTCACTTTTAATATGTTCAATGGTGAATTTCATCACCATTGAGAGTGCTGGCATTTGAAGTGTTCACTTGTGAGCCCTCACCTACAAACTTGTAATTAGGGCTGTGAGCTGGTTAAATATCTGATTAAAACCACAGTGACCACCCAATTAAAAATAAATATAACAACTGTGTGTGTAATGTCATTGCAGCTGTATGTGTTTTGATAGGAGTGCTCCTTCTTAAAAGATGTAACCTGATTTAAAAGCATGGAACTTTTCCTGATTGGGCAAATTGTTTCAATGGTAAATGTCCTAAAAAAAAAAAAAAAGTCACCTCTAAGATTCAGTAATGGAAGAGTGATTTCCAAAAAATGTTGGTGTTTCATCCAAGATCTTTAGCAGATAGTACATAGTTTTTGAACTGCTTTGGAAGTGGTTGGGAATATAAATGTAAGTTATTATTAAGACGTCTCTACTTATGTGAAGCAAATTAGTGATGCCTGAAGCTTCAAACTTTTTTTAGCCCACTGTTGATTGGGACTGCACCAGTAACCCAAGGGAAAGGTAGGTGATCTGCCTGGGATGGAGTTGACCGTATGGAAAAATTCAGCCTGAGTCTAACTCTGCCTAAACTGCCTCAACAACTTCCAGTGACTTCAGTGGGCTTTGGATCAGGCGACCAGTGCCTTAACCACACCACTCTTAATCTTGCTAATTCATCCATTTCTAATATTGGTGGGCCAAATTTAGCCCTGGTGTAAGTGGATGCAACTCCATTACCAGGGCTGAATTTGTTTCACTATCTTTAACTGCATATTGCTCAATGGTGAATACACACAGCTTTTCTGGAAACTTTTGAGTGGACTCTGGATAGCAGTTAAAATTAAACTAGGAACAGCAGAACCAATAATATTCGGACATCTGGATTAAAGCATTTGTACTTTCCCACTGTTCAGTATGTGCACAGAAAGAATTCAGATAAAATCCTGAGTTCAAGCAACCAGTTTCTAGCTATTATAAAGCACTCCGTTGGAACTGCTCTTCTATGGGGGGAAACGATTGTATAAATCCATAGACTTCAGAAACCTGCCACCACACAGGCAGGGACAGCTGGGTTACCGACAAGGAGACTGTGTGCAGAAGCTTCCTCCTGCCAACTGTTTCATCTCTTGAAAATGAGCAAAATATACAAGAGCAAAAAAGCAAGGCTGCCTCCAGCATGCCGAGAGAATGACTTTAATGACAAAACTCTTTTAGCCTGACTCCATGAAGCACAATTCCAAAGGCCCAAATTTGGGACATTAAAGAAGAATATTGCTGGAATTTCCTTCGGGTAAAGGGGAGTGAGATTAGCCCCATGTGATGTGAAGTTAATCACTGCCATGACAGCAGAACAAATGCATTGCTGTTCTCTGTTCGGCTACTACAAGAGGCTAGGTCTGGAGGATGATACATAAGGCAACTTGAGCTTTGAAAGGTTCACAACTATTTAAGCACAAATGTTACATAGGACTGACACGTTTAGCCAACCTCCCCCCTCCCCTTTTTATTTTTTAAACCAAATGGTTTTTGATGACATGATTATTTGTTTACTCATTTGCTCAACATGAAGATTATATCACAGATTGGGTCAGATTCTGTTCCTATTTAACTCAAAGAGAGGAGAGGGAGGCCCCTGCTGTACATAAAACAGTCCATATAGCATATATTAATAGTCCTGTAACCAAACAAACAGATGATAATTGTAAAACAGCAACACAGGAAGCCAAACATCCTGCAGCAAATCTGACAGAGTATATCTACACTAGAGCAGGAGACATACCCATGCCAGCTCTAATTGAGCTAGCGCACTAAAAAAATAGAAGGGTAGCCTTGGTGGTACAAGCAGCAAGAAGAGCTACCTGCCCCAAGTACAATCCCATCTGAGACCATAGGTCCTCACTCAGGCGACTAGCCCTTCCTGCTGCCCATGCTGCTGGGGCTACATTCCTATTTTTAATGCGCTAGTTTGAGCAGAGCTAGCACAAATATGTCTGCTTGAGCTGGAAATGACACCTGTTGGCACCAGTAGAGACATACTCATAGTCACAGTTCTCAAGTCGAGGAAAGGGCCTGGAGTCCCTGCAGCAGGGAGAAAGAAAAGCTTGGATGAAGTTATGATGGGGGGTCATAACAGGGGTCGGCAACCTTTCAGAAGTGGTGTGCTGAGTCTTCATGTAGTCACTCTGATTTAAGGTTTCACGTGCCAGTAATACATTTTAATGTTTTTAGAAGGTCTCTTTCTATAAGTCTATAATATATAATGTGACAGACCCAGACCAGTGGGGTACAGGAGTCTGGTAGAGGGCAAATATACTTGTCACTGGATGAGTAGTTTTCTGTTCCCTGAGTGACCAGAACAGGGGCTGCACTAGAGTAATCAGGAACCTGCTAGAACCAGTTAAGGCAAGCAGGCTAATTAGGACACCTGGAGCCAATTAAGAAGAAGCTGCTAGAATCAATTAAGGCAGGCTAATCAGGGCACCTGGGTTTTAAAAAGGAGCTCACTTCAGTTTGTGGTGGGAGTGTGAGGAGCTGGGAGCAAGAGGCGCAAGGAGCTGATAGTGAGAGGGTGTGCTGCTGGAGGACTGAGGAGCACTAGCGTTATCAGACACCAGGAGGAAGGTCCTGTGGTGAGAATAAGGAAGGTGTTTGGAGGAGGCCATGGGGAAGTAGCCCAGGGAGTTGTAGCTGTCATGCAGCTGTTACAGGAGGCACTATAGACAGCTGCAGTCCACAGGGCCCTGGGCTGGAACCCGGAGTAGAGGGCGGGCTCGGGTTCCCCCCAAACCTCCCAATTGACCTGGACTGTGGGTTCTTCCAGAGGGGAAGGTCTCTGGGCTGTTCCCCAACCCACATGGTGAATCTCTGAGGCAAGAAAATCCGCAAATAAGCGCAGGACCCACCAAGATAGAGGAGGAACTTTGTCACAATAACTAAACTATGGTTGTATGTAAAGTAAATAAGGTTTTTAAAATGTTTAAGATGCTTCATTTTAAATTAAATTAAAATAATAGAATATCAGGGTTGGAAGGGACCTCAGGAGGTCATCTAGTCCAACCCCCTGCTCAAAGCAGGACCAATTCCCAACTAAATCATCCCAGCCAGGGCTTTGTCAAGCCAGACCTTAAAAACCTCCAATGCAGAGCCCCCTCCCCCCCCGGACCGGTGGCCAGGACCCGGACATTGTGAGTGCCACTGAAAATCAGCTTGCATGCCGCCTTTGGCACGCGTGCCATAGGTTGCCTACCCCTGTATTAGATCTTCCTTGCATGAAATTATTGTCACACTGCTTTGTATTCATAACTCAGGTTTATTTATTTGTTTTCTCTCTCTTCCCCCCCCCCCACATCTAATGTTCACAATGACATCCCATGCTTGTATTTCCATTGTCAAATACACCTCCCAGTAGCTCACTCTTTTGTCTCTGCATGAATGCCTGGCTAATATAGAACATCTCCATTGTTTTCAGCTTGTGCTCTGTTGGAGGGGCTAAAGAGCAGCCTTTCAATGGCTCTTTGGATGCCCACTGAGACAGAACTGGTTAGATGACAGGAACCACATCCTACAAAGACATTAAAAATAACAAGCTAATGGCTTCGAAAACAGTTGACGTCAGATAGACGTCCACATCTGTACATTATTACTAAGCAACACTCTTTCCTCCTTTGCCCATTCCCAGCTCAAATAACAAGACAAATAAGTCTCAGAGCTCCCTTTCTATGGGGGGCAGGTAAACCATATGCTACAATGCAAGTGATGCAAATCTTATGCAATCTTCGGGTGACCAGATGTCCCGATTTTATAGGGACAGTCCCAATATTTGTGGCTTTTTCTTATATAGGTGCCAATTACCCCCCACCCCCTGATTTTTCACACTTACTATCTGGTCACCCTATGCAATATCTGCATTATTTCAAAACACAGTAATTCTGTATTCCATGGGATATCATAACTGCTGCACACCATCACTTCACAGATAAAACTCAGCTGTTACCTTTGATGTGTAGTCAGAAATTTCTTCTTCTTCAACAAAGATGTTTACTTAGCATACTGCAAAGGTTTCCCATTGCTCTCTGTAGCTGCAGCCAAAGAGCACAGCCAGGGCCTTCCTTCACTCTCCAAAATGTAAGTAAATCATCTAAAGAGAATCACAAGGGAAATGGCCTGCTTTGAAGTCCACATAGTACTGAATTGGCTAGGTCAGTGGCTCTCAACCTTTCCAGACTCCTGTGCCCCTTTCAGGAGTCTGATTTGTCTTGCGTATCCCAAGTTTCACCTCACTTAAAAACTACTTGCTTACCAAAATCAGCCAAAATACAAAAAAGTGTCTCAGCACACTAATACTGAAAAATTGCTTACTTTCTCATCTTTACCATATAATTGTAAAATAAATCAATTCGAATATAAATATTGTACTTACATTTCAGTGTATAATATATAGAGATCAGTATAAACAATGAAATTTTAGTTTGTACTGACTTCACTAGTGCTTTTTATGTAGCCTGCTGTAAAACTCTGCAAAACTAGATGAGTTGATGTACCCCCTGGAAGACCTCTGTGTACCCACAGGAGTACACGTAACTCTGGTTGAGAACCACTGAGCTAGGTGAGTAAAGTAGAAAATGATTTCCCTGCTGCTGCAATTCCCAGCAAACACAGCATCTGCTCCATGTACCCAGCTTGAAACTGCAACCAATATATTGTCTGAAATAATGGAAAGAAGCAAGAAGCTGTAGTCTTTCCCCCCAAAGCCAAAGGAAGATCTAATACACAATGGACTTCATTTCAGCAGTGCTGCACACCCACAAAATGATACTGCGGGCATTTGCCTCCTCCGAAAATAAGGTCTAACTTTTTTATAACTATGTTTTCTAATTCCTTTTGCCAACTCGTTTTTCATCATTATTAGCCTGCCCTCTACTGGACAGAAATATTTCATTTACATAGCAGAATACAAAAAGAACAGGAGTACTTGTTACTACCTTCTATAACCATATATAATGCACAAAACCATGTTCTCTTTCACTTAGTGTGCATCATTAGAGGGCTCCATTATTTCCTTACATACATTCAGGCTAGAAAATAGATCTCTTCACCGAACAGCTCACTTTTCCAGGTTTTTTTTCAGTGGAATCATGACTTGTCCTTTTATCAGGCTGATTCCTTTGCCAGCTGTTTGCATAGAAGGGCTTCCATATATTTTTGTGCATACTGTAGTTGGCACTCTCATTTAAACATATTAAGCAGGTCTTCTTTTATGTGGCTTCCACTGTACCACTACCTAACTACAAAAATTTGTGCTTATGTATAAAATTTATGACCCACAGAAGTCAGGAAATTCAAATATAGCACAGATGCTGAACTACTTTCATATTGTTAAGGTCCTTCCTCCTTTGGGTCTGGAAATAGTGAACTTTTAACAATTGAATGTTTGAGTATATATTGTCCACCACTAGAACTCGTAGGTGCTACACTAAGACACATTTAGAAAGAGAGAGATGTGCCTAAATCTTTACACAAAAACAGAACCATCTTTGCATAAGGCAAAAGATCCAATGGGGGGCTTTGTAACTCCAAAGACCTACAAGCAGACTGGGGGGCAGAGAGGAGAGGAAGGACAAACTCACAGGAATACTTATCCCAAGTAAAACACAAACAAACAGCCATTAGAGCATAAGTTACTCTGGAATTAAACATTAAAAAGTTTATAAATATATTTGCAATGGTGCAATAGTTGCTGCTTGCACTCCCAAAATAAGTGACTTTGAAACAGTCCATTACTACAGAAGTCATACCATTATTCTAGGCACCCAAAGCGTAATAGCATCTCAGGCTATGTCCTCACTATGGGGGGGGGGTGTGTGTGTTGGATTTAAGATACGCGCGTAGCTGAATTCGACGAATCGGAGCCGACTTACCCCGCTGTGAGGACGGCGGCAAATTGACCTCCGCGGCTCCCCTGTTGACGGCGCTTACTCCTACTTCCGCTGGTGGAGTACAAGCGTCGATTGGGGGATCGAATGTCGCGTCCCGACGAGACGCGATAATTCGATCCCCGAGAGATTGATTTCTACCCGCCGATTCAGGCGGGTAGTGTAGACATAGCCTCAGTAACTTAATCACAGACATTAAATACATCAACCATTTATAGTTCATTTTGTCAGCATACGGTATTCGCATCAAAATCAAACAAAGTCTTTTGGTTGCTAAATAGTTATCTCACTTCCTAGGATGTACTTAATTATTTGGAGAACTATGCAGTCAGAGCGTTGCATGAGGCATACCATATGCTATGTCATTTCATTATGCCAGCTGAACAGTTTGGTCACAGGAGAAAGGAAGAGGCAGTTTTTATTTTGTCATTTTTGTGAAGAGGTTACAGACAACTGAACACTTTGGACAATGGAGACTTCTCAATGTGATGGCATTTTCCATATGCTCTGAAAATATGGTCACCATCATCTAAAAGTAAATCATTAGGACACTTTTGTGATGCGTTTTTTAGGGTCACAGAATGATCAGACAAAGGCAGAAGTACCCTTTTTTCTTTTACTGTGTGATGGTGTCACTATTGCCAGCTTCTTACTCAGCAACAAAATGCGCATATTTCTCAAAATGGAGGATTTTTTCCAGTAATTTCTGTTCTGAGTGAGTTTATCATGAAACACTGAACAATCATAATTAAAATTCAAGTTGAGCAGACGAACAACTCTGATTGTTTCTAAATTCATTCTGCTTTTCTCTTCACTGTTCATCACATCAAACGCTCATTCCACTGGACTTTTTGTTTCTGGTAAACACAGTACAAATTATCTTTAGAACAGCAAGTCATCTTGAACAGATACTTTGTACATTTAAAACATTTTGATTAAATGAAAAACTGGGACGTTTCAGGTGTCCTGAAAGGAGTTCCTCAGACACAGGGACATAGTATAGTCCAACTGGGAACTAGGGTCACTATCCTCACACTATTTGCACCTTAGAAACACAGCTGATTCCTTTGTTCATTACAGGACTAGGAACAGTAGAGATCTAAGAACTGACAGGGATTTCAATGACTCTCTCTCTAGGGTGGCCAGTTTTCAACCAGAAAGTCTGGTCGAAAAGGGGACCTGACAGTGTCCAGTCAGATCGAATGACTGGACACCCAAAGTCCAGTTACTGTGAGCCGGGGAGGTGGGGAGGGAAGGGAAAAGAAGCGGGGGAGGTGCCAGGTCATCGCCCACTGTGGCGACGACACAGGAAAGGAAATAGAACACTAGGTTTTTGGTAGCTAGAGAGCTTTAAAAGCTTTAAGCAAAAAGCTTTCCAGGAAAACTTTTCCTGGGGTTTTTATTCTTTTTTTTACTTTGTTTACAACTTTTTTTAGTGGTTACATTTTTGTGCATGAAGAAGACATGCAGTGTACAATTACATAAGATAGCAAACCCATCTCTTGTGCACATGAACACCAGCTGCAAGGGTGATGTCAGGTTGCCAATAAGTTTCCCAAATACAGATACTGGGACAAGGTCACTCCTGCCTCGTTACCAAGGGAACAGTTTGCCGTTTTCGTGGGCGTACGATTTGGGAACAACACATTCCTACAGCCCACTCCAGCCCCTCAGCCGGGGCCACCTCTTACCTTCGTCAGGCAGCTGCAGCTCCCAGCCCCGGCTCTGCAGGCAAGCCCCTCCTGATCCAGGCAGCAGGGGTGGGAGGGGGGAAGCAGGAAGCAACAGGTAGAGGGGAGAAGTGGAGTGGATGGGGCAGGGCTTCGGGGGAAGAGATGGGCAGGGGCGGGACCTTGGAGGGAAGAGGCAGGGCAGAGGAGGTTGGCAACCCTACTTCTCTCCCAAGGGACATTTTTATACTCCTGAGCACTCTGTGTTTGGCCTATGTTTGCTATTGATTCTCTATCCATTTGTATGACACTCTCTGTGAACCGCTGCCAGTGCTCTAACAAGAGGCCTGCACAAATATATTCCGCCTGTCACATCATGAGTTTATCATTTTAATTACTTTGGCTCTGATTTTTGTCTTTTTAACTGACCTTAGCTTTCAAGCTTATGGAGTCTGCAACCCCCTTGGCTTTATCAATTGGCCTTCTGTTTCCTACAAGGACTGGAGGGCAGGGGGAGAGATCCTTTATTTTTCTCAATTGCCTGTACTTGGCCAACCAGTGCAGCTGGACAGTCTGCAGCTGTGCATCACATGCTGTGTTTGTCTGCAGCATGAGCACTATCCAGCTGAGCACCCAGCACAGACAGCAGAAGAAAAGCAAGGTAATTAGGTTAGTAAATTGTCCAAGGACAAAAACTAAAACATACGATTGCAAGTTTCAAGAATGCTTGCTATGCAAATAACGTCTTGTATCATAGGGACACAGCACATATAAAGATAAGTTAATTACATTTAGGTGAATCCAACTTTGAATTAGCATGCAGTTTATACCACAATATTTTTTTCTATCAACCAGAATTTCTTTCTAAAACTACATAGAAGAGTGGCTTTACTTATGGTCTCTGTCTACTTATTAACCAAACACTGTGCAAATATTCACCCTATATTTTCTTAAGGTGCAATTCCATACACCCCTTCCTTCCCTCTATGTGGACACTGTTTTACAGGCATTGCTAAGAGCTCCATGTAAACAACTGCACACAAAAAGTCATTTGCAGTGCATGATAAGTTCTCTTGATCCTACAAAAACTAGGAACGATGCTAGGTGTTCTTAAATACCAGCTACTAAGACTTTATCTGTTAGCAGACTATTCATATATAGCAATCTCTCTAACAGACACCACAGAGAGTGAAGAGGCCATAAGGGGTGCACCTCAATTCTCTGTGCCCCATGCACCAATGTTTCACAGTTTGAGTTTTAAATATTGCTTATTAAATGTTTGCATCAATTTGCAAACAACAAACCCACACAATTAAAAAGCATTTTTAAAATGTATCTAATATGAGGAAATTTCAATCTGCACAGGGACATTCCATCAGCTTGAGTTATTAGTTAATCATCTTTTCACCTCTAACACTCAGAATAGTTTTCAGGGGGGGAAATTAGCACAGGTGAGTTAGTTAGTTTGTCCAGTGATATTGTCCACTTTTGGGCTAATATTTTTGTTTAAATGAGAAAACAGATGATTAGATTCT